GTGTTGTAACCCTAAGAGTATCTTTCTAAGTAAATCAACAAGATTGTTGGCGATTAATACTAAACGTAATTATTTAATATTTTGGATTCAATATTTTTATGGTTTAAAATTTATTATTTAATTTCAAATAATAATGGTTTATATTTTCGTTTAATTATATATAAAAACGTAAAACTATATTTTTAAATAGGGTGTTTAATATCGCTCTAGTGTGAGGGTAATGGCACTCTAAATATAGAGGAAAACTACCCCCAAACTCATAGCCATAGAGTTGGTGGGCTGGTTGAGTTGAATTGAATTTGATGAGATTCATCTATAACAATTGTACTTTGTTAATAAGGAATTTGACATTAAATTCGTTAATTTTCTAAAAGTCAGTACTTTTATAATGAAATGAGTAAAGTAATTTATTTAAACAATCATTTTAATTTCTAAATTTTTAAAAGTTATAAAATAATAATTAAATTTATTAAATTATTAGGTGTTTTCCCTGATATATCGCCTATACCCTATATATTTCCCTGTCAGACACCATTCAGACTATTTTTCCCGATCTAACACCCTTTGCAGTAAGGCGCGCCCCCTGCAGCACGTTTTACGCTGATCTGGTGCCACGTGGGGTAAGGCGCACCCCCTGCAGCGCGCCTTATGCTGACATGGATACACGTGTCTAAAGCGCGGCCCCTGCGGCGCGCCTTACCTTTAAATCTGTCACGTGTCAGAAAGGCGCACCCCCTGTGGCGCGCCTTAGGTTTAATTACCCACCTACCCGGCCGTTCACACCCTTATTCCTCCCTATAAATACCTCATTCTCAATCACTTTCATCACACCAAGTCCTCTCAACTTCTCTCAAATACTCTTATATTCTCTTATAATTGTTTAAGGTATATTTTATTATATTTAATATTTTGTTTGTAATTTATTTAAGTATTTAAATTTTTTAATATTTTATTTAATTAATTTTTTTGCAGATATAAAATGGAAGGTGGTCTACTTCGCTTGGATGGAAATCATATATCTCGACATTTTGCTGATACGATAACATTTTAACGTTTTAATTTAATTTAAATTATTAGTAATAATTTATTTATTTAATGCATGATTATTAGTTTAAAAATTAATTTTTGTAATTATTTAATTTAGGAGAGAGACTGTGTATTAGATCTTTTTATTAGGAACCTTAAGTTAGTGATACCTAACTGTGTCTTGTCGTATTTAGTAGAGGCTGGATTCGGTCACATAGGTAGATATGAGGGTCACTGTAAGATAAAACCAGACCTTATTGCTGCCTTAGTAGAGCGGTGGAGGCCGGAGACCCACACATTCCATCTTCCGTGCGGAGAGTGCACGATTTCACTTGAGGATGTTTCTATGCACCTGAGGCTTCCGGTGGATGGAGATGTGATATCGGGGATGGTGCACGGTTCCTGGACTGCAACCAAGTTCACTGTATGTGGTTGCGATATCTTGGCGACTTTCGTCTGGCTGGATCACTCAATTGGGGCTCGACAGTTTTGCTTTCCTGTACAGGGAGATGTGTCGAGCCACTGACTATAGGAAAAATGCTATTGGCGGATGTCTCATGCTGTTGTAGTCTTGGGCATGGTATCGATTGCCCTTTTTATGTCCCGTTTTCAAGAATCCATTCGTATTTCTGCTACTATTGAGGTAATTATAAAACTGATTTCCTATATTAATCATTTTATATAGTGTATAATAATATTTTTCCTTGAATAGGTGGTCTAATGATAGGAAAAATCATCAGTAGCTACTTGATGATTTAGAAAAAATTAGGGTACTAATCGATCAGAAGGTTGGCACACATGTATGCATTTTAATGTTTAAAAATCGATTTTAGATTATAGTTATATAATTAGATTATTATTTTGATATACATATATATATATATATATATTTGTTTTAGTTTGAATGGGTGCCATATTCTAATGATGATATGAGGATGGTGATCCCACCTGAGTTGAGGGGCCCATCAGATGTTTGGTGGCGATGGTCCATTTGATCTGTTATGCGATCATTGAGTGGCACTCCACTGATCGCGTGCTTCGGTAATTTGGTTGTTTTCAACCAATTTCGGAAGCACCTCACAATATGGATGCGTTGCATAGCACAGATAGACGCGACAAGACAGATACATATTGGCTGGTGAGGCATCATGAGTGGGTCGTGTTATGGGATGATCGACATCGATGTCTTCCCCGTAGAGAGCCCATTTATTATGACCTCTTGACGGTTATTATGAGTGGTTCAACAGTAACGGGAAACCGTTTATGCTTTCTGAGGATACACGAGGGCAGACCTTTCAGCGACGTCGACAGAGACGTTCACCGATACAACACCATCGTCCCCCGACTCGTGGACGGAGAGCAGGTGCTTCCGGTTCATCCTCAACTGCACCAGCAGAACCTTCACAGCAGCCACCATCTACGATGACTTAAATACCGCAACCATATGTGATGACGCCACTGCATTCCCTTACCCGATGTCGCTACCGCCATCGTCACCTGGTTTTATGACCCCGCCATCGACATTCCCTTACCCGATGTCACTGCCACCACTGTCACATGGTTTTATAACCCCACCGCTGCCACCGTCACAGAGTTATATGACCCCTCCTAGAGAATATTATGGGTCTATGTTTGCAGATCCGACTTGGGGTTCATATGCTCACATTTTAGCGGGTTCAGCCTCATCACCCATGGCGCAGCACAGACACCTCTTGTACAGTTTTCACACTCAGCGATGTCTGGGTTTTATGAGCTTTTTCAGTTTTCGCAGGCCGGTGGGATAATCAGTCATACACCTCCAGGGTCCTTATTCTATGGAGTGCTTCATCGTCATCAACTCCTCATCAACAAAATGTAGCTGCTCAGGACAACGATGACTTCGACGAAGATGATGATGATGGTGATGATGATGACAACGATGAATCACAACCATTGATACGAATAAATCCTCCTCGAGACCGACAGCCACCGCCCTGCGGAACACATTCGCATCGCATGCATCGATATATTTTGGTTTTTTATTATATTTGTATTTAGTTGTTTATTGGACTTTTTTATTGTAATTTTTTTATTATTTATCATTTAATACTTACTTTATTTCGTTAATTTGGTTGGATTTATTTTAATTTATTTTATTAAATTTGTTGGACTTTTTGTTAATGTATTTTGGTTAATTTTGTTTATTACCATTTAATATCAGTTATTGTAATTTGGTTATCATTTACCATTTAATACTTATTGTAAGTTTGTTGTATTTAAAATTATATTCAAATACCAAATTGATATTAGTTTGATAAAATTTATAATTGTGTTCGATAACTTTCTTCAGTTTGGTTGTATTTAAAATTATATTCAAATACCAAATTGATATTAGTTTGATAAAATTTAATAATTGTGTTCGATAACTTTCTTCAGTTTGTCACTTATTATCTCTTTTATTATAATCACATATAACGCCAACGTCCAATCTCGTTTTCTTGTATCATTTTTTTAATCTTCATCAGCGGTTATCGAATGACATTAACTTTAAGTAAATGCAAATTAAAGTACAAGAATTATTATTTGATAAACAACTACATCAATTCCTCATCAATTGTTACTTGATGACAGCAGAAGTGCACATGTTTTTCTAGTGTGTCCTGAGTTTCTACAATGCCCACATCTTCTGTCTTGTCTAGATCTTTCTCGAATATCCATATCACAATGAATTCGATTGGATTTTGGATAACCACGCTCCCTCAATAAAGTAGGATTTGGTACAATCGGAAGCCAATCCTGAACCTCATCAAGGTCTTTGTCATTACCTATTGGGGAACTTAAATTCGTATACCTTAAAAACTTCATATAGTAGGTATACGGGATCTACAAAACAATTATAGTCTTGACGTGTATGCGAGCAAGCTGCTATCACATGAGAGCATGGATACTTCAGAGCTTGAAAAAATCCGCAGTCGCACGTTCTGTCCCATAAATTTACTCTTAACGACACAGCTTTAATCCCTTGAAGAGGTCGCGGCAACTATGTGACACGAAACATTTCATGTCTTCTAGAGAAGCTTGTTACAGACATTCCATTTGATGCATCAATTTTTTTTTGTAGATCTGCAACTAATCTAGGGTGATAGAAATGACTGCCTTGCATCTAGGTTTAAGCTTGTCCCCCCAGCTTCGTAAAAAGCGCCCCCAAACGAAAATATGTAGTTTTTACCAAAGTCGCTACAGGTAAGTGACGTGCAACCCTTTAAGGTTAATTGATTGCCTCAACCAAGTTAGTCGTCATTTGTCCATATCGATATCCACCATCATATGCGTTCGTCCACATTTCTTTATCGATGAGGCTGATGTAATCGTATCCTTCCTCATTTTTCGCCCGTAAATCTTGAAGCATTTATATTCCATGGTAGTTCGCAGCAATGTGTCGGAGACAATACTTATGTTGGACTAAGGGTGGTTATCACATTGGACCCAAAGACTCCATTACTGCTTTGATCCCAGCTCCGCGATCTGAAATGACACAGATTTTTTCCCTCGTGATAACATGTGCACGTAAGTTTCGGAGGAAAAAAGCCCAAGAATCTGTATATTCTCCTTCAACAAGAGCAAAAGCAACTGGAAGAATGTTGACATCTGCCAATAATAAAACTTTCTTATATTTTCCATACAAGAAAGTCCCATCTATCTGAACCACAGGCTTGCAATATTTGACAGCATTAACGCACTGTGGGTAAGTCAAAAAAACCCGATAGAATTGACATCGATCACGAAGAACTAGATCATTATGGTATGTATAGGAGGTTTCGAAGTCCACAATTGTCCCAGGATTCAACCTCCGCACCAGCCTAAACTAGCCTGGAAGTTCGTTGTAAGATGCATCTCATTAGCCATGAAGTTTGACAATGACATTTTGTTTTGCCAACCAAGCTTTTTTATAGGAGACAATGTACCCATACTGCGATTGTATAGCTGAAATTAACACAACAACAACTATATGAGAACTTGATTTTACCATGGGCGTGATGGCTTGGCATAACACTTCAAAGTCCAAGTTGGGATAATCTTGGTTGACCCCTCCAGCACAACATGTGTAAGGACCGTTGTATACTGTTAGTTCCCATCTGTTGTTTTTCCTCTTCCTCTTCGATACGCAAATCATCCAATTGCATCCGTTTTTGCGTCGGGCACAGTAGCATACATATTTTTCTGTTGTGGAGCGGTCGACTCTCGATTGAACAAAATTACGGATATTGTAATTTTTTATATCCATCATCGCTTTTTCTTTGCTTGAAAACTCCATGCCTAAAGATGACTCACCATTATTTATTGATGAGTAATATCCATAGTTACCGAGATGAAGTATATCCGTAAATTCTGGCCCGTACATTACACCATAATCAACTTCATACATGTGTGCTGGAGGGTCAGTTTATGCCACAAATGATGGAACTTCATCTACATTAGGATCATCATCGGAGTTGAATTACGGTGATTCTGGGTGAATGAATAGTCTAGTCTCAGCATCATCTGCTCCAGGCTCACGAAGCGGTTCTTCTGATGGAGATGATGGTTCCTCTATGCTCTCCACATTTAGGTCGAAGAACCTAATACTTGCACGTCTTCCCCTTGAACTAGAAGGCATATCAACATTGAGATCGAAAAAGGTCGCAGTTGAATGCCTCCCCCTGGAACTTGAAGCCATCGTGTCAAATGGAAACTGCACAGATTATTGCGTCGATGGCATCTCCATATTAAGGTCAATGAAATTTGCAGATGAATGTCTTCCCCTTGAACTGGACACAATGTTGTCATACGGATTGTCCGTGGACCCACCTCGGTACATATTGTAAGGAGTTGCGGATGAATATCTCCCCATTGAAGTTGATGTGACGACACCATAATGCGGATTTCCCATTATGGCATTAAAATCATTACACATTACTGTAGTCGGGCTGTCAACTTGTTCAGCCAGCCCATAGTGGGAGCTTAATGACTGATCTCGAATAGCACGCACTTGAACAAACTTTGCATACATCTCAATATCGGCGTCTGAATAATTACTTTGAGAATCAATCATCATTTTAACATCATCATTGTTCGATAGTTCGAACCTTGTATAAGTTAATGACAACAATGATGTTGAAAATCTGTACTGGAACGACAACATTCTTCTACTACTTCCAACATGAACTTTCCTCGAAATCTTCGTTATCAGCTCCTCAAGAGTTATGTTTCTCTTGAATGATATTTTAACACGCTCATTTGATACAAAACAACGTCGGTTTCGTCTTCTCGAATTTCTCCATCATAATAAACAATAGTTGAAAGTCGCGCCATTCTTAGAGTTTAAAAGTGCGAAAATATTATATCTGCAAAAAAAACAACTGAAACAAACCTAATTAAATAAATAATATATGAACGAAAATATAACACAATAAAATTTTTACACATAAACGTAAATAATTTAAATAATATAATTTTATATTATTACCTGCGCCGCAAAAATATTTCGACGAATGCTCCTACTTTCCCCTTGAACTGGCACATAAATTAATTGAAAATAATTAGTATAATATTTTTTTCAAATAATCATAATAAACAATAAGTATAATAAAAAATATTATAACAAAATTACCTTATAACGAAAGATCGAAAAAACTTCTAAATAAAATATAAGAGGATTGTCGGGTGTTATTTACTAGTTGAAAGATTGTTGTATTAATTTCTCGGATGAGAGGGAATTGTGAGAGAGTTTACAGGGAGAAAGTTATTTATAGCCGAGAGATGATGCTTTAAAGCAGAGAAGTTCGGATAAATTATGCAAGGCGCGGTCCTTGCACCGTGCCTTGCATTATGTATGTTTGATAATTGAGTGTGATAATTGAAAAGTGCGACCCCTGCCCCGCGCTATAGCCCTACGTGACGTAAGACGCGCCCTAGGGGCCGCGCTTTAGGCATGTGTATTCAACTCAGCATAAAGCGTGCTGCAGGGGGCGCGCCTTACCCCACGTGGCGTCAGATTAGCGTAAAGAGCGCTGCAGGGGACGCGTCTTACTGCAAAGGGTGTTAGATCGAGAAATATAGTCTGAAGGGTGTCTGACAGAGAAATATATAGGGTATAGGTGATATATCGGGAAAAACGTCAAACTATTATAAAATATCACTATAATTTTATAATATCATAAAAATTTAACAATCGGTGAGTTTAAGAAACAATGGAATATCGCAGTGTCTCAAAACAACGTCCAGGATACTTGGACAACGACAAATCTGGCTCAACATCTATCTATTTTATCTACATCAGAGTAACCTTTCTGGGAAGGTTCGATAAGATAACGTTACGAGCTAAGGGGCTGCAATGCTCGTTGAAGATTTTTAACGGCACTGTCGTAGTGTACAAACCCCATAAACCAGAATTCATGGTTATCAACTGATATAATCTGAAGGTATTTCTCAGCTGTGTTGGCTTTGCTTGTAGATGGATTCACCGCCCTCAGCTGATGTAATGGAATGACCACCTACAAACCATTACAACATGTTTAGACAACAAAGATGAACACATATATCCCCATTACTCTGTTTGTCGGATTTTCCCCAAAAGTTCCAAAGAATCTAACCATTAGGCACAAAAGAATCAAACCTTATAGTAGCTCCATTGAGTCTGAGTACCAGCTTGGTAAGACAGAGGACTGTCACTACAAAAAGCAAGCTTTTGAGTCGACAAATACAAAACTCCCATAACAGGACCGGCTGAGGTAGACAGGTAACAAGCATACGTCTTCAGAAGCTGTTCCTCGGGAACATTCTCAAACGTTGTTCGAAAGATCTTCTCGTAACCGCCTTCTGCCAGAACTTTGGTTCCCTGTGCAATCCTTCCGACGGCAGCATCAGCAAAACTAGGCCCAGTTTTCACTGTTGCAAGTTGCAACAAAAGAAGTATAAACTTATCATGTAATCCAACCAATTGATATTTGAATATTGAGAATACCCTAATGCTATATTTGAGAACACCAACTTCAAAGATTCGGATTTCATTTTCATAAGCTTCATATCCAACAATTCCAACAATCTATATACATAAATATATTTATCTACACACACACATATATATATTATCACACAAACTACACTATTTTTTAAAATCCGATCGCATTTTGGAATTTAAGTTCCTAAACACTAGCAAAATTCCATATCAAAATTCAAGGGGAAACAAGGGTACTTAGTGAAGAGAATAATTACAGTGTTGCCACATGTTGCCAGCTATCTCTTTTGCTTTCTTGGTGTCTTCCGCCGCTTTCTTTCCCCATTTCCCTAACACATCTTTCACTGAATCCATCTTACCTGCTAAACAAAAGGGCTTTAAGATTTAAATCCAATTCAAAAGATAGTTTTTTTAAATACTAAATAAAATCAAGTTGGTCTAAGCTGAAGCAAGTAGAATTATTGGAAGTGGGTTACTCTTGGAGGAAGATAATTGGACCGGAGCAGGGGAAACATAAGGATTCGAATCAGCCGGCATGGTAGTAGCAGCGCTGCCGGAGGCCGGTGTCGCGACATGATTATTCTGCGACTGGGAACCCACGAAAACGTTGGTCCAATTCACCGGTGGAGGAGCGACGTCTTGCGGATCTAATTTCGGGTACGGAGCGTAATCCGGGGCCGGCACTTGGGTTGACTCGGAGGATGATGGGGACTGTATGGTTTCGGTGATTTTGTTTGGATCGGACGGCATCTGGCTCATGGTTAATATGTGGTTGGATGAGAAGAAAACGAAAACGAAAATATTTTAAGCAGTCAAATCGTGAAGGAAAATTCTATAGTTTCGTTTTGGGTTTGAATTTGCTTTGCGTTTGAAATGGAAACGACTGGCCGGCAATTAGCCGTTGGGCACACGAAACGAAAACTAAAATAATAAGATCCTCGGGCCGACGTGGCTCATATATGACTTATGGAATAATCATTCACAGACCTTGGTGAGATATCTATGTATAATCAAATACAGCAGAATTATAATAAAAATACAATTTTCTTTTATAAAAAGAAAATTATTCTATATTAGTTGTCATAGAATATTTTTTACTGTTTATATTTGTTTTATGCTTCTTGTTTAAAGTTCATGATTATCTACTTCTAATAATATATCTTCAATATTCAAATTAAAAATTTTTTCGTCAAAAAAATTCATAGGCATAAATCAAGCCACATCATACTTGAGTTCCAGCTATTGATCTGCCTTTGAAAACTTGATGATAATTATACCAACTTGCTCCACTTGTTTTGGGCCTTATTATATAATGTAACAATAGTAAGACTATTAAACGAAATTTTAATTATATTTTATTTATTTTATCAGAATAATTTATAAAATAAACACCAACCATACTGTCCATACCGTAAAATGTAGTCATAGTTTATTAATAAAATGGTTGGAACAATTTTGTTAGGTCAATTTCAAAGAGTCGCACACGAATTTGGTGTTTAGTTCATTAGACTGATCTGATTTATACAATATTTTTATAAATTTAAAATTCAAAGATTAACCTTCACAGTTGGCTTATTGTGTATTCGAATATACTGTTTTTGTATGGTGTTTCCAGATTGTCTTATGAAAACAAAAAGGTTAGGCTGTTTTGGACTTTGATGGATACGCACAACCAAATGAAGTTAAGCCACGTCTACAGTATGATCATTAAGATGATGTTAATTAAATTAAAATTCTTTTAATTACATTATTCAATGAAAATTGATGGATATGTTCCTGTATGACCAAAATTGATCACTATATAGAGGAAGACCAATATAACTTTAGTATAGACCAATATCAAAATCGAAACCTTCATTTTATTTTAAAATTTATATGTAAAATTATTATTATTATTACTATTATTATTATTATATCAAAATCGGATTTTATCGGAGTTTAGAATTATTAGATATATTTATCCAAATCCATTCAAAGAAAATGATACTCCAATCCCTAAAAATTCTTTGGTTATTGGAATAAAATAATGAACGTGTAAATATATTTAGGTAAACTTTTTATTAGTTATTTATTTATTTTTATGTTTCTGTTTTGGTTACATAATTATTTATTTAAAGTCATTTAACGTTATGCTTTATTTCTATTTTAGTCATTTTTTTTAAATAGTGACTTAACAAAAATGATTATATAATATGATATAATAACATTTTTAATCTCTAAAACTTACATATTATATCAAATTAATCATAATTTAATAAATCCTTAATATTTAAAAATCCTATCAATTTTATTCAACATAAAATCCCTCTTTTAAATCATTGTCTCCCCTAAGAGTCATTAGCCAATGTTGTCATCGTCTGTTTGCTCAGCCATTAAGAACATATTGATACTTGTGAGAAGTCAATAAGCTTACACCTAAAACAACAACAACCATTATGGTGAGAACGAGATTCAACGGTGCTTTCGATATCAAACCATGTAATGTTTAGATTAGGATCCATGCAAGACGCGTTTATGTCGGTGGGTGTTGAGAATATTGAAATGTGAATTGTGTGTGTTGACGTGGTCAGTTTGTTAGATTGTTGTTATCAGTAGCAGACGTGGACAGTCTATTAGGCTGATTAAGGGATGATTTATTGCTAGGATTTTTCTAACTATTCACGTGAATACAAGGCAGTTCTATATAAACCAACCATTCCCCTCTTTTATAGTTCAGTGAAATATATACAAAGCATTATTCTTTATTCTTTTATGTGTATGTTAAAATTATAATATGGTATCGTTTTTTGGTCTTCCTGGTGGTTTCTGCTTTCGCCGTGCTTAGTTCAAAGTATGCCTCGCGGTGTTTCTTCCAGTGCATGGTTGATTCCGACGGTTCTACGGTGGTACCTCCCAAGATGTTTACCAATAAGAATGTTCGTGTTGTTTTGGATGAATGCAACTTCTTGTTATGGAAGCAGCGGGTTCTACTTATCGTTAGGAGTCATTGGTTGGAAAAGATGCTTTATGGCTCGGATCAACCACCGCCCTTGACAGTTACTCTTGACAATGGCGACGTTATCAACAATGAGGAGTATGAAGTATTTGTGGCTCAAGACAGTGCCTTAGCCTCGTGGCTGCTATCCACAATCAGTCCGCCGTTGCTTCCTCAACCGGTTAGGGCAGAGACGATTATCGATGTTTGAAAATTGATAACTAATTTTTTGTCGGTAAATTTACTACGACCATAATGAACCTTCATTATCGTCTTAAAGCAATAAAGAAAGGAGATTTGAGCATGAGGGTATATATCTCCTATGTCAAGGAAATATGCGACGACTTAGATGGGTGTGGGAGCTCCGTTTCTGATTGTGAATAGATCGCTACCATTTTCAATGGCCTACCTACTTAGTATTATCGACCCTTTGTAGTTGTTATCACTGTTAGTCGCGAACCGTTTACTCTTGATGTTTTTTCAGTCCCGGTGGACGCTGAAACACAACTACAATGTTTTGTTCGCTTTGATGAACTTCATGTGAGTGCTAGTGTGGCTGAACTTAAGGATAATGGCTTTGTGAACACAGCTAATGCATTGAAGGTGGCTCACTCCTTTTTTTTTTCTATCAATACGAACTTGACACTTTTCAAGTTCTCGAGAATTAATCTAAATTCTAAATAATAATTCATTGTAGCAAGAAATGGGTAGACAATCCATTTTCACAAATTACATTCTAAAATTAACTCTATCAAGTCCATAAAACGTAACATTTATTCTCAAACAAACTCATAATCATTTGGCTCACTAATAACTCAACTTTCTATAAATTTTAGCGGACAACGTATTTAGCACTCACTCACTTCCTCTCACTCAAATTAACAATACTTTAAATAATTTAATGCTTCACTTAAATATTTCTCAATTATTTAAGCTTACCTGAAGAAACCTCAGAATCATCACTAGATTCAACAATCTCCTCTGGATCCTCATCCGATTCAACTTATCTAGTAAACCGTTCAAACTTTTTAATGAACTCCTCAAATGCATAAATATCATTAAACGCTGGGGCATTCCTTCCACAGAAGGGAGGAAAATCCCTAGCAGCTTTTACCCTTCTAAGGCGTGATACTGAAGTCATGTCGGATTCTCTTGGGTCGATTATGATCCCGACCTTCTTTTCAACATGATCAACTTTCTTACCTTTACCTTTAGTTTCCGACATCTAAACACAATCAAAATCATCTTACATTAATAAAGAGTAAGTTTACTCTCTTATAAGCATCATCACAGTATATATACAACTATCAGTAAACTTTTGACATCCTAGTGGAATGCATACATTCTTAAAAAAATTAATACTCGTTTAATGTCCAGAAACGGCTAAACCTATAGCTATGATACCAATAAATGTAACACTCATTTCCCGTATACGTTTCCGTACACGAGTTATAGATGTCACATGACTTTTGAAAAATTCTCGATACTTGAAAATCAGTAAAATTTTCGTTTTCTTTAGATAAAATCATTTAATAATATAAATTATAAGACATTCTTCAATTATATATATTAAACATGTTTACTCCAATTATCAATAGTAGTTCATGTTATCCATATTTAAAATCAATATAAGACGATCCAGTTAATCTATTACAAACTAATTTCCAAAATATTTAAATAGAGCTAATAGGACATTCATAAGTACATGCCACTAAACTAAGTCAAAATATTTATCATAGGATGTCTTACTGATATTGCAATATATTCCTCGATGCTTGGAGTTGCTCAGTACTCTTTACTTCTAATCTCGACTTTTACCTACGCGTGAAATCAATACACATTAAGTATTTACTTAGTGAGGAATAATAATGTAATTGAACTTAAATTCATACATAATCATATCATAGCTATTGAAATACAAACTACTTTGTATTCTTCATAAAAATCAATTAATCATCTCAATTAAACCCATTTTTCTTTCATATAGTGATCAAAACCATTCTTAGTATGCCCATCATACTTATTTTTCTGTATTTTGTTCCCAATTATACTTTATTGTGCCCAATATATGTTAAATAAGAATTTAAGGTACATACATTGCACCGAAGTGACGAAATGGTCATTCACCTTTTATGAATACCATGAGTGGCACCTTTCTGCCAATAATGTACCGTTATGCATTTTCATTTATGGTACCTTTCTACTAATAATGTACCCTTATGCATTTTCATTTATGATACCTTTCTGCAAATAATGTATTGTTATACATTTTCATTTATGACACCTTTCTACCAATAATGCACCATTATGCATTTTCATTTATGACACATTTCTGCCAAAAATGCACCATTATGCATTTTCATTTATGAAACATTTCTGCCAATAATGCACCATTATACATTTTCATTTATGGCACCTTTATGCCAATAATGCACCGTTATGCATTTTCATTTATGGCACCTTTATGCCAATAATGCACCGTTATGCATTTTCATTTATGACACCTTTATGCCAATAATGCACCGTTATGCATTTTAATATATGTCACCTTTCTGCCAATAATGCACCGTTATGCATTTTCATTTATGACATATTTCTGCCAATAATCCACCGTTATGCATTTTCATTATGGCACCTTTATGCCAATAATGCACCGTTATGCGTTTTCATTTATTTTAGAGCAGTTCATACTCTAAAACTTATTCATAATACAATTTCCATACACATTTATGAAAGTATATTAAATACTGTAAAACATACATTAAATCAAAATATTCTAAGTTGACTCATTGCGAGTCTTCCTCATCTCATATAAATACTATAAATGCACTCACCTGATAAGCCTCATTATTAAGCTGTAATGATGTCTGGCTATTCGGCAACTTTATCTTTTCCCTTTTTCTTGCTTAACTCAGTAGCTTGGTTATGATCTACACAAGCATCCATTAAAGGCACATACCATACCAATGTTAGTATATTCCCTAACATTTATACTTTAATAATACTCAACAGTACTATTATTTTCAATTTCTATTACAATTTCAACCTATCTTACAATTCCAGCCTATCTTACAATTCCAGGCTCAATAGTATCAGTACCCCTACTATGGTATTGATACTTCTATACTATGGTACCGATACTCCTTTTCAGTATCGATACCATTTATGCATTATGGAATCCATGGTATCGATACCTTTCTCTTAGTATCGAAACCCACATCAATATCGATACTAATTGCATCAGTATCGATACTATTCATCGTAATTATTCAAATTTAAACCTATAGTATCGGTACTGTTCTTCTAGTACCGATACCCCTACCCATATCTTCCATTTTTCAGCTCAATTTTTACCAAATTTTCATTTAAATCTCTTACTTTTACCTCAAACAATATCCTTAAACTTAACATCACTTAACCCAACTAACTTTCCTCCATTTAGCTTCTTATAACATCTAAATTCTCCAAAGAACATCTCAAACTAAGAATCATACTACTTTTTCTAACATGTTTTTAATCACATCCAAGGCTTTCTAATCTTTTATTTACTTCTTTTACAAGTCAAATCTACTAATAAACCTCAATAAAAACTCATATTTCAACATACCATTCAAAAACCCATTTTCTTCAATCTCAAATAAATCATCCATTTCTTAGTTTTAATCCTCTATAACCCTTTCTTAAGCTTCCATGTCACTTAAGGCTTCAAGAACAAACCAAAAAATGAAAGGAAAAACTAGCTAACTGAAGCCTTACCTTTGGCTATGGAGGAGAGCGCGATCATGGGGGAAGAAGAAGAGTAGATGACTTAGTTTAGTTTTTACTTTCCCCTTTTCCCCTTTCTTAAATCCCTAATAAAATGAATTTTAAATTCATTTCACTCTAAAGGACCAAAATACCCTTTCATTCTTCCATTCTTACTAATTGGTTTTAATCAAATCATTTCTTATACTTTACCATTTATTTAATTTAATCCTCTAAATTTTAAATCATTTTAATATAATCACTGACCCGATATTTGGGGTATTACAAAAAGTGTGATTGGTTCCTTAAAGGTCTTCGCCCTTTGATTTAGTCAGGTGTTGCCATACACCATGACGCAATGTTTAATAGTTCAGTTGCTCGGGCGAAGACTACTAAGAAGATCAAGCCATTGTCTTTAGGTCATAAGCCCTAGAATTCTGATAGAACCCAAAGGCAACTCGAACCACATACTCAGGCGGGGTATATGAGTCAGTTTGGTAAGTGATCGAGAGACGATTCTGGTCTTCAAGAATATAGTTGAGTTAGTCTGATGACATCTACCATTTCAACTGTTAGTGTTAGAGGTTCGACTGATACTCGAGGGGTACCATAGTGTTTATATTGTCAGAAGAGGCATGTGGGAGAGTGTTGGAGGAAGACTGAGGGTGTCTTCGTTGTGGATCCTTAGAGCATCGTTTTGAGGAGTGTCTTCTTCCATCTATTGGTTCTTATGGTCTTATGTAGTCTTAAACTTCAGTTCAGGCATCGACCTGAGTTAGGGATCAGGTTAGACCGATTAGTTCTGG